CTTATAGACTTGAAGAATGCTAAAAAATGAGTGATAAACTCCATTTTTCTTTTTTTCAAAATATATTTAACACAACATAACACGAACTAAAAAATTAGCAGATACTGAGTTATAGAACTACTGACGAGCCAGTTTCATCGGGAAACTCTATATAGGAAAACTTCTTACCATTTCGTCACCGAAAATCCTTCTCTTGGCAAACGAGAACGCTTTTTGTGAATAGCAAGGACTTCCAAAAAATTTACCAGGAAAGATACTTTCCCTCTCACCAGGAGTACTATATACATCTTCTTTGAAAAGATTTCTTATTTTTTCGAAAAAGAAAAAAACGTATAAGATTTAATCTTTTAAACCAAGTGTCGAAAAAAAGGTAAACAGCACTGATGATCCATCAAAAATTTTACAACAAAAGATAACTTCCAGCTCACCATCTTGTAGTAGTACAGTTTAATTAGTAAAGACCAGCACAGCGGTCATCTACGCAACCTCATTGATAACGGTAAACAGAAAAGACGTTCCGCCAAAAAATTTACAAGAAAAAATACTTTCCATCTCATCAGGTGTACTACGTACATCTCCATCCAAAAGATTTCTTATTTTTTCGAGTGAGGAGCGCACTCCCAAGTCACGCTAAATCAGAACGAAAGAGCTAATATGCGCTACCAAGCCACGCTGAATCATGAGAGAGAGAGAGAGAGCTATCACGTGCTCTCCACCAACGCGCACTACCAAGCCACGCTAAATCTGAATGAGAGAAAAAGAGAGCTCGCGCTCGGGCCCTATGCCAAACACCTAGCTAGCATATATATACACTAATAACTGTACAAGGTGCGTCCATTTCTTTTTTAAAATTACTAGCTCAGCCAAACACGTGGCAAAGCATTCTTTCTACTTTCATTATTGAATTGCGCAATAAAAATAATAATTAAAATCAAATCAATCTGCCTATAAACTAATTCTACTCATCAAAAACTACCAGAACGAAAGCACTTGAGTCTCTAGTCCCTAGAGACATACCTGTTCAAACATACATATATGCTTAAGTATAGGGATGCGACAAACCCTGTATCACAGGGTCCCTAGTTCCTAACTATATATATATAGTATAATATTCCTAAATATATATATATTGCAACGGTAGTCGATTCAATTAATCGATCCGTTCGCGATTCTTTTACTCGCATGTTAGTTCGAACGATTAAGAGAGAGAGAGAGAGAGGGCGCACGAGAGTTTGAAAATAGGCAGTTAAGCCTCAGCTGCTTTCGCGAAAATACCGCCAACTTGTTTTGCACTGTGTTTCGCAGTTTATTATAAAGTTTTCTGGGACTATTTTTTTACGTGCGTGAGTGCAACAGCATTATAGCGGCAGCAAGTAGCAGCAGTATAGCAGCAGCAAATTGTAACAGATTGGAGAGCGAGGCAGCGCAGCTGATCAATTAGAGGAGTATCGACAGTTGATTTTCTTCAACAACAATTACGGCTGATAAACCGTAATTGCACCGCAGGGTAGGTGCACCTCCCTTTATCAACTCAACAAAATACTTTCAAAAATATTTTGTCAGTCGCGATCTTAAATTTTTGTATTCGCGCCGAGCGTTAGTTTTCGCGGCAATTTTCGAATTCTCTCTCTCTCTCTTTCTCTCTCTCACCGAATATTAATGATTAATTGTGAATCCTATTAGCGTGCGTTAGTCTTTCGGCCCATAAAAGACTGTAGTTTTTATTGATTAAACTTTGTTAATTTTATTCGCCGTTTACGTCATTTCGTTTCCTATTAGCTTAATCGATATATAAAGGCTTATGTTTTAATCCGATTTCATCTAGGGGATTAGGTAGATTAGGTATAAAGTCAGTCACACCTAAGATACATTGAGTGTCACAAGTCAAGTGGCTTAAGGTGAGTTCAACTCGATTGGAAAGAAGACACTCAAACGAAATCATCAGACGTAGAGGCGAATACACGTATATAACTATACGTGTATAACTATACGGAGCGGCGGTTAGCTCTGCATCGTGGGAGTTTGTGCTTAAATAAATTTCTCATTCGATCCTGTCTGTTCATTTGTTTTTTAAATTATAAGACAGCCTCCTGTCGATACATAATTTAACAATATAAATCGATATGTTATTTAACAATATAAATAATTATTAAATAAATACACCTTATATTATTATGTTTAAAAATTTAAAACACACATATACACAGTGAAACTGAAAGTGTGGAACGTAGAACGCAGAACGCATGGGGGGGGGGGGGGGAGTTGACAATGTCGAAGTCAAAATGTACGGGCATCAGCTCAGGGAGGACATCAGCTCACTGAGCTCTAGGTTTACCTACTATTGTATGTATTTGAAAATATGTAAAATTATGAAAGTTCTAAACAATTTTTCGTTTTAAGTAAAAAATTTTAATATGCCGTTCAATTCATAATTGACAGCATACTCGTGATAAAGGTTTGAGAGTATTAAAAATGCGTTACTATAATTTAAAAATACACACCGTATACATACTACACAGCTTATCTAAATAAATCTCATGCCTTTAGTGAAATAAAAAGTTCAATGATGTTCTCTTTGTACATATAACAAGGATAGAAAGTGTGAAAATAAATTTATATTATAAGACATTATTCAAATTAATAATAAAAAATATATTTAAAAAAATATTATTATTCTATTTATATGACCATCCTCGTTATCAGCGAGTCAATTCGTAGAATATATGATGATATGAATAAATGACAGTCAAAAACATTTTATTCAAAAGCATACTACATCAAGGATAGAAAAAGCATGTTTGCTAATTGAAAATAGTACGTCTGCGGATAACCTACGATTTTTATAATTGATAATATATTTTGTTTAATTTTGAATTATATAAAATTTTAGATGAAAATTCAAAGAGTAAGACGGATTTTTCAATTTAGAAAAATATTAAATAGATTAGAAAACTCCCATTAAGTAAGTAGAAAATGTGAAATACCTAAATTTTAAAAATTTATACTTTTAAAAATACCTAATTAAAAAAAATTACACAGATGTATTCATCTTACCTTAAACAATAATTTTAAAAAATTATCCGGTTCGAATAAACCGTTTCTTCCAAAACTTTTATACTTGTTTTATTTTTAACATATTTTTACGCATTTCTTCAAAAATATAATAGTGAATGCGAGTCCAGGGACTCACAATACATAGGAATAATAAATTTTCACTGTGGTATTCCTATTGCATAAGATGTCATTATCAAATATTTTTAACGAAAGATAAAAAGCTAGACACATAAGTAATGAATATTATTAGAATATTCATATTGTTCAAATTACCATAACATAAATATTTATTTATTTCCTTATATGTGATATTTTTTTTAATATAATATACTCATATATTAAAAAACGTGAATAATAATCTAAGAAAGGTAAATAAACCACAGTAAACTATCAAATGTTCTAAAATAAATTTTTTATAGATGTCAGGAAATGACTTGTAATTCACATTAAAAAATTATAATTATTATGTTAGAAACGAATTTCATTCCAAACTACCAATTCTACAATAAACGTCATAAAATTAATAGTGGGGCCTGCGGCTAACAAAATTAAAAATAGATTACGTTACTACCAACTTCGGAGTTATACTTTTTTTTATTGTACTATTATAAAAATTAATAAACGTGTCTCATTTAAACAAATAAGTATTATTACATTATATTTATTACAACGCATATGGTTGTAAATTAAAGTACCTAAATTAATTATTATACAACAATGAAATCTCTTAAATAAATGAATTTATCTTACTCAACAATAAGGATATCAAATGATTTTGATAATTGAGCTTCAGTAATTGTTAGTTAGTTGAAAAGGAAGATACTGCTTATTCATTTTCATTTCAATATATCTTATATCTATATCGGATTGTAATTTCTACGTCTTCGAATCACAAAACCAAATGTAAGTAATTCGTGAATTATTTATGAATGAACTATAAAATTGCGTCATATAATCTTTTATGATCAATAGCTTTTATATGTAATAACTGGAATTAGACATTATGCAAGCAAAACATTCAGCAATACAATATATATATGTAACTTGTACATATCTTCTATAGCATGTGGTAATTATTTTATTTAAACAGAATTACAAAATTTCAAAAGACTGTCGATGCGATACATTACTTTGATGGAGAATATTTGAATAAAATGATAAACTATTACTATTTCGGCATTATAAAAAGTCGTCGATATCTACTAACACGTAAAATAATTTTTTTATTCATAAAATATTTACGAATTAATCATGAATGTGTTACTTATATGAGATATAATATTAAAGTTATTGTTGCAAGCTTTCAGCAATAATCTTAGGCAATAAATAATTTAGTTTTAGTGAAATATTATGACTGTTTTCGTGGAGAGAACGCATATGTAGTATAGAAATACTAATATCTCAGGTACTATAATTAACCGAATGCTCCGTACATCAAACTTAATTAATGGTTTATGCAAAGTAACGTCATAAAAAGTAAAACGAACCACTTCAAGATAAAAGTATTTTTTGATAGTTTTATAGCGTTATTACTTAGAACTTCTAAGAAATTATTTTACTTACATATGAGACAACTATAATAAATATATTAAAAAATATTAAGACAAATTTTCAAGATATGAAAATTTTCTTTACACCAAGTTTCTTGTTATAATTATCGACTATAAAAAAACGAGAATGATGTTTGTTCTCATTTTTAAGTTATATAAATCTTTTTTTTTTGACCAATAAATCGTAAAAATAAGTTGAATTATGATTACACATACGTCCACACACGTACCTACATGAGAAAATTCCTTAAAAATGATGGATTATGATACATAATATCTTAAAACATATTATTATAGAGATTTTGAGAAATTATTTGTCATCTAATACTTCCTCTATGAGTGGGATTTAGATGTACTAGTGTGTATAAATACTATCACATAAATGAACAATCATACCTAAGGATACATGGCATTATCACTGGAGACATTCAAACTGTTTCTATGGTATCTACCAAATGTGCATCTATGCAGAGCTTGCGTATGTATGTTGTAGAAATGCATGAGCGGGGAAAATTTAAATACGAAATTAAAAATTTTAATATGTAAAGGAACGTACTATAAAAGACGATTGATTCATTACTTTTAGAAATATTCTCAAAAGATGCACATTTCTGCCAGATATATTACGTAGATTATATTATCATAAAACGTCATAACTCATAACAATACAATTTTTATAGTTAATAATAAATCTAAGTTTGACTGAAAGATATAGTATTTACACAATATTAGTCCTATTTTGAATTATACAATATAATATATTATGCTTGCTCCCTCAACAGTAGTTCGAAAATTATTAAAGATGACTGGTTCTGAAACAGTTTCAATATTGCTTGTATCATCACTAGCGTTTGTAAAGATTAGATCAAGCTTAGGGAATCCAGTAAGGAGTGTCAAATGCTTACGATTGGGTAGATATCAAGAGAAGGGAATGCGATAGAAAGTATAGCGTGGAACTTCACTACCCTACAGCAAAGGCCAATCAAAATGTATACTTTAGACAACCACACCCACACGAACTTGCGATTGGTTGATTTCCGCAATAGCATTTCAAAGAGAGTATGCACATAATAGACACAACCTATCACATTACACGACACACCCTTTCAAAAATTGAAAAGAGAAACGGTATAGCGGAAACCAGTCGATAACTGTCTTTGAATGAGCATTTACGAATTGTACGTTTTATTGTATAGGCATTCGGTCTCAGAACAATGAAAATAAAAGGGGAATCATGGATGAATAGAATACCAGCAAAGAATTATGTTGAATATAGAATAGAGATATTTGAGAACGTCAAAATCAGAACAAGTAGTTGAAATTAAAAGTATTCTATAATGCACATTCAAATTTATATACAAAAATTTTTTTTATATACATGGAAATTATTGTCTCTATATATATGTCTCTTCCAAGAAGATATTCTATTTTAAATGATTAATTCTTTCTACATTACATTGTTTATGTACAACTACGACTTAATAGAGTATTAAGTTTAATATTTATCACATTTAATAGTTTAGTAATTATTAATAGTTAAATACTAAATGACATATTTTATTGAAAATTGTATTCAGAATATGCTGAATATTGAGAAATAGGAAGTTCGTAGTTGAAATATTATGTATATGTATATTTTGAATATTTTTTATAATTACAATTTCTTTTTTTTCATTTTTCATCGTTATTGTTCTTTTCAATGCCGTGTACATTACGGTAAAGTATTCGATCAATTTGAAGAAATTAATAAATAATATGAACAAAGCATTTTTTTGTTACATCCTTGCATTCTATTACAATTTAATAATTTTGTGAAAAAGAAATGAACTATATATTTTCGTTATACGTTTTTATCGACACGACCTCTGACGAACTTTTATCAACTCATTTTCAGAAATCTGCAAAAAATTGTTTTGTAAGCTAATACTCATATATTAATTAAAATAAAATCAAAACTCTACGTACAATTTTAGAAATGCAATAAAAACAGCACAATAAATAGTAGCAGTATGGTGTTTTAGTAAAAATGAACACATTTTCTTTTCAAATGTATATAGCAAGATGTTTTAATAATATAAATCTTATTAATTTTAAAAGTGTCGTGTGAGAATTTTTAATCTTACGTAAAAATGAAACGTCAGAAAATAAAGAATTGTAATGTTATTAATTTTTTTAGTTTTCCAAGGTTCCAGCAAGATTAGTTATTAAAAAAGACTATAGAAGTCAAAAAATTTGTGTTGATGTGTTTCATGTAATCGAGTTCACTTTCTTTTTTAAAAAACGCTATTAAGCATTACTCATGTTCTTAATGTCAGTATTAATTTTTAATACTCAATTTCATTTTTGATTACTCAAATTTATTAATTGACTAAAACTATTTTTAAAATAATAAGTATAAATTTAGTAATTAATCTTGTACATGTATTGTTATGAGTATTAAACATGTACATTTTTGAAAATATCATTGACTACTTCAACTTAGGTCAAAATAGTAGGCGACTAGGATATTTTCCAGAAGTTGAAAATTTAGAACGGAAATTGGGATGTACAAAAATGATGATAATTGTCCTATATTTTCTAATAAGAGCCATTAGTGCATTTTAAGAGATAATCAGGCTTCCACGTAGATGAATGTTACTCCATTTATTTGATAAAAACCTGAACGATCAAAGTAAAATTACAATAATTTTCTTAAAAATATGATATCTTTAAAAAAAAGAAAGAAAATTTGACTAGCAGTGACTAGAAAATGAAAACAAAAAAATAACTAAAAAGATAAAGTTAATGTGACCGTCGACAAAAAATATGCCTTCACGCTTTGCTAACATCATCGAATGTAGAAGAATAAAAAGCAGTTCATGTCAAAAAGTGAAACATACTTGAAACATGGTATAATGGTATATTAATTGAAAAACTATAATGTATTTTGCGTTGAAAAGCAAACAATACAATAACAATATATTACAAATACACAATTTATATTACAAACATCATTTGCAATATAAAAATGCAAAAATACATGCATATTGACGAATGATGATTTTATTACAAACAAATGATGTGCCGTTAGATCTTCACGGAACTTGGCTCATAAATGTGAAGTATAGTATGGCTATGACATTGACTGTTAATATACGAAAAATTATTAATTTTGGTAGAAAATGTTATATTAGTTTTCTTATTCAGATAGAAAATCTATTTTATTTATTTGTTCGAAAAATTTTAGAATACGAGAGTCCTTCATATACGTAACATTAAAATTAAATCCAGTTACAGAAATAGATATTATATTGGTGTGTAGAGAGTATTATATATTAATATATACCTACACACACATAGTTTGAAATAGAAAACTAGCTTCGTTTCGATGTATTATTTGTTAATTGGTGTAAAAATGTCTGTGGACCGTCAAGTATTCAAAAATTATTTTCTTCTTTGGGTTTTTTTCTAAACGAAAACATTCCTAGCATTGTATAAGTTCACAACATAATGATATTTACTTTTGTAACTGGATTTAATTTTAACGATATTTTATAAGGGTCCTTCGTGTTCGTAAAATTTTTCGAATGAATTATTAAATAAATTAGATTTTTTGTCGAAGTAAGGAAACTACTATAAAATTTTTTGCCAAAATTATTAATTATTAGTATATTAACAATTAATGGAACAGCCGCACGCTTGTATATTACACATTAATGTGCTAAGTTTCGTGAATATATGATGGCATTTAACAAAATTATAACGGCTTATGTTTTACGATCATATCGAGAAAAAAAGTAATAAATGATCATATTTTAGAGAGAAAGAGAGAGAGAGAGAATCGAGATTGATAGATTGAAAAAGTAATAGTACTACTACCTTGGCCTTATGGCTAAAAAGTAATAATTACATAATTAAAATAAAACGATAACAAATTTAATACGTCATATAGTGTTAGTTGATAAAATAAAACATAATAGAAACTGAAAACCGTAGCATAACTGTCGTACAACGTTACCTCAACAAAAAACATGCAACATTTATAAAATGAAGAGTATAAGGTCACCACAGTGTTATTCTAACATAACTGAGTCATTGATGAAACGACTCGAGTTTAGGTTGTAATTAAAATTTCTATATAGAGCAGAAAACTTTTATATTATCAATGCCATTATTACATTGAACAACAGACAACGTAGCGTAAATCTTAAACTAATCGTCGTAGAAACATTGTACCAACAAAAGAACTTTTGACATAAAGTTTTATTTCGTTGGAAAAATACTGCATAACCATTATATAAATGTTTTTAATTTTCATTATTTCTTTCATTCAAATGATCTGAAAGTTGACGTAACATTAGGATAACTTACCGAGAACTGATTGAAATAACCTCAAATCAACGATTGGTATCCAACTAAATCTATTTAAATTAACTAGAATAATCCCAGCTGTATCCGTTCGTCGGCAAGATAAAAAATAACGGTAGTCGTGTATCTTGCAGGAACGTAATCTGCCAGTTAGGACTTATGTTTTTTTTTTTTTATTTAACGTCGCTCTCTTTATGCTCCATCAGTGCTAATCAGCGACGGAGGCTTGCAATGTGTTTGAGAACAAAGCACATGAAACTTTTTTCAGTGGTGCTTGTATCAATCAGCAGGAACTGGGAATCGAACCCGGGCCTACCGGGTGTGTGTCCGTCGCCCTACCGACCGAGCCATTGCAGGCTTCTGTAGGACTTATGTACATGTACTATTTTAAGGTTTCTCCTATCTACCGCTATAGTAAATTTTTGTTTATTAAACTAGTTATATATTTCTTTTAAACAAAATTAATTCATTGATTTTATTAATTTCATAAACTTAATAACGTTAATTCCATAAATTTAATTAACTGACTTTCAATTGACGTCTATATATTTGAAAAGTTTAATAAAAATATTAATTTTTGAAAGATGTCAATATAGCAATTACAAAAATTAAATTGTGAAAGCTCATTTTAATTATAAGTAATAAAGATAACAAAATTATTTAGTTCGCTATAGTTCGCGAGATTCAACACGAGATCTTTAAAATTAGCAGGTATTTCATCCTCACTATTGAATTGGACCGAATAATTTCGTTATCTTTGTTACTTATAGCTAATACAAGCTGTCACAATTTAATTTCTGATTTTTGAACTGGACATTCGGTTGAAAAAATTGCCGGTGGAGGGCCCATATCTTCCTTGGTAGAAATGAGTAATTGTTGTCTTATATCCTTGGCTACGCAACATCTAGAAGCTAGATATCTGAGGAATGCTGTTAGATCGTTATAGAGGAGTTCAATCCACTAACAAGGGTGAAGCGCCTATTAATTTTAGAAATCTCATTTTGAATCTTACTAACCATGGCGAGCTAAATGAGTGACGATGATTAAGTTTTGTCAAATTTTTGAAGTGAATTTCTAAGATCGAAAAATAAACATTCAGGCCTCGGTGCTATGACGTTCTACTAAAT